AAAGGGTTGGGCTTCCTCTAGATGATGCTACTTGGGAACCTTATCTTAGGCTGAATGAGAGGTTTCCAAACCTAGACCTTGAGGGCAAGGTCAATGCTAAGGGGGGAGGAAWTGTTGGGACCCAAACACTCCCTCCGAACCCAACTATAGGTGTGGAGCAGGCCACCACCGAGCAGCATTTCACTAGAAGACAAAGAGGCTAGCATGACACGCGGCATAGCCTCCCAGAGTTAGTTACACTGCCACCAGAAGATATTCTCTTCATGATTGCATACATGTAGGCTAGCTATATAAGACCCTGATCATGTAATAAGTGGTGTGAATGAATATCCCTTTCATCTCTCTCTCTTTGTCATCTTCTTCCTACCTTTCCCCCTTTCCCTCCCATCTTCTGTTTCAGGAGGTTAAGCCACCCTCGAAGGGACTTACAAGGTGAGCGGTAACTCATCGGAGTCTCTGTGCAAAACTGCAAAGGAAGGTCCTGCCCCTCAAAACCAATTGCCATTTCTAGCTGAACTCTATTGGGGGACTTGTTTGCATTAAGAGAGGGAACCTGTGCTGCCTCCAAGTTTATTGGTCACATTTCCTCTTCCCTGGCTGCCAAGAGAGGGAAAGAGAAGCTCTCCATCTGAACAGGGTTCAAAATAAAAGCTGTCAACTGGCTTTCACCCACAATCAACTGTGATTTGCTAATCCCGTCACCAATGGACTCACTTGTCTCCTCTTCCAAGAAGAGTTGTACAGTATTTAAGCTTCCCTCCTCGAGAGGATCCTTGGGAGCCTGCAACTCCACACTGCCGATGCTTGTTGTGTCATCGGATTCTGTCTCATAGTCAGAATCCTCTTCTGAAATTATCTGATCTTGCATCTTTGGTTCCTTACGTCACAAACATCTAGGGTTTGAATTCTCAGGTGACAATCGAGCAGACTTCTCCACTGGTACCCATTTCATCGAACTGTTAACAGAGCAGCCGCTAGAGAATCTATAGCTCTTGCTGATAGTTTATCCAGACCGGGGCCAAATAGGACTATTTGTATTAGATTATGCTATTCCTTGAAAATGGCTTGTTTTTTCGGTGCTTGCGAAGGTTTTTGGAATAGTCTTCTTTGAAGACTGGGTTAGTACTCACTTTGGTCCTTTGTAATGTTATTTACTATTTATATATCCAATTCCTGGATATCTGGAACTGGTTATTATTGAGAACCTTGTGAAACCATCACCTTCTTTTGGTTGTGTGTGTATGTTTTTATTTTTTTTAATATAATTTGGGAATAGTCTTGTAAATTGCATTTGCATCATTTCTGTTTTGTGGTATTGTCAAGGTAGCATTTTTTCCCCTTCCGTGGTCACTGGTTCTAGGTGAGGCCTGGTTTGTCACTGTCACATTCTTGTTTTGGGACATTGTTGGGTTTCTTATATGGTGCTTGGGAAGATGAGTCTTTTGCAGATTTTTCTGTATGGGGGAGGTAGCATTTATGTTCTTTAAGAGTTTTGTCTTTCCATTTCATTTCATTTTCTTTTCTTTTCTTTTTTGGTTTTTGTCCTGCCTTTCAATTTTCATTTGTTCTTCTCTTTCTTCTCTTTGCCTTGTTTCTTTGCCATTCTTTCTTTTTCTTTAACAATAAATAGAAATTTATTAAAAAGAAAGATTGTATAAACAGAGAAAGAGTGCTGAGGTGACACATCCGTATCTTCAAACTATTACCTATTATCCTTAATGAAATATCATTACTGACTAGAGAAAAAAAACACAGGATACCATAAAATGATTGCCTATTATCCTGGATATCAAGGTTGCTTTATAACAGGTTTACCAAAACAATTGGTCTCAATGTTCTGGCTGCTTATTGTCCATGGAACTACAAGTGGATCAAAATAGTGATATGTTTCTCTGACTTAAATTTGGAATTGGGTGATTAATCTGAAGGGTTTAAGTCAAGATGTTAGAAATGTTCACATTTATCCTCTTTCTTCTCTTCTCTTCTCTTCTCTGTCTGTCACTCTCTCAAATTATATTGCTCTTTGTTTCTTAGCATGTTAATTGAAGTTAAGATGTCTGCTTTGATATTTACTTGAAGGGAGAGAAACATATCTTCCCTACCCTGTCATTGTTCACCACTTTAAGTTTTCTAGAAACTTTGATATTGTTATATTTCTCTCGTAACATTATTGTATTGGACTGCCTATATTGGTTTTATAGGCAGCTCGTGGTGGAGGAAAAATTCTTTTGAAGGGCCTGTATTCCGGACTGGCTGGAAATCTTGCTGGTGTCTTACCGTATGTGTCTCATGCTAAGTTGCAAATGTGCCTTTTGCTTTCTCCTGGAATCCACATCTGATTCTCGTTGCAACTCAAGGACTAGATTTCAAATTGTGGTTTACTTATAAATGTTGTTTATTGTTTTCAAACCTACCTCACTTGCATTCTCAACACTGTTCTGGACTTTCCTCTTGCCAATGCCAGATCCTATAATTATGTAAATGTCTTATAGATTGATTGAATGGGTTAAAGCTATTTCTGAAAATGTGATCTTTGACCTCTAGTATCAGGCCTCCTTTTTCCTTGCCCAAGATTACCGAACTGCATATATTGTTATAACTTGTAACTCCGTACTTGTCATCTTTTGCCTCAAACATTTATATGTCAAAGTTTACACCACAGATGATAATAAAAAAGGGCCATTACCCAATTCTGACCCCGGCTATCAGGAGTCTTGGGAGGGATGGATTGGATATGGACCTGACCTTAGGCATTTCATTCACCAAGTGACCTCTCTCAGACCTGAACTTGCATTTTTACCATTGTGTTAAGCAATAACCCTAATCAACAAAATAAACTGCAAAAACCATATCAACAATCCTGTCTCCAATCAAAAGACAGCTTACTGATAGAGAAATTTTTGATTAGTGAAGAATAATTGTATTACTATTACATATATGAAAATTTAGGAATTGTGTAAGAAAAGGATCTACCACCTAAATATGAATCCCTCATAGCCAAGGATTTACGCATGGTATGGAAATACAGTCAAACCTAACCCCATTTCTCATAGAAAAACGAGAAACAGAAAAATGAGCATTTATGATAACTGGATACCTGCACATAAATAGTGTACTAGTGTCATATGCAATACTTGTCAGATATGATACTGCATACTGCATGGATACTTCTAGATGTAATCTGTAGCATTAACATTGTGAATATATGTACACTTATAAGTATTAACAAATTATACTGTAAAAATATCTGCACATGTTAGAAACTTTGTTAAATTTGGCAAGACGTAAGTCTTGAAAAATGACATTTAGCTTCAAAGACTAGATAAAAATGCATAATATAAGCATATTACATGGAATACCTGTAACCATGGCTATATCCAGGATTTTAGGAAATGGAGAGTCATATCCATATCCCTGTTTCCCATATCCATATTTGGGCATCATAGATGAGCATAAATAACACCAAAATTTGTAGGTTGGACTTTGCTTTGAATATTCTTCCATTGGAAACAGAAAATGTTGTCACACTCCATAACAATTAGCTTTTCCTCTCAAACTGCACTTATGGCCATCTTCCATTGCTAATTAGTAGGAGAGGTCCAAACTACCCAAAAAAAGAGGAAGTTGTTAGTCGGCTGTACAACGGTAGTACAGTCCTTTTATGTTTAGTTATATATGTATTGCTCTGCTGATGTGGCCCTCACTTAAGTGAGGGCACAATGGTAATCCTTGTATATCTTAGAAGAGAATAAAAGAAGGGCCGACTAGAGGTTTTGAGATTTTTCTCTCTAGTTCGGCTGTGACTTTTCTCCTTTGTCTTCTCTTTCTCTTTCTCCTTCTCCTTCTCCCTCTCTTTTCCTTCTCTTTCTTCTGATCTGAACATACACGTACATCTAATCTGAGTTTTATCATGGTACTAGAGCCACGATAATCAGTTCAGATCAGTTGTCTCATTTTCTCTCTGTTTTGCGCATTCCTCTCTAGGGTTTTGCAGAATTCTCATTGATATTTAGAGAGTTTTCCAGAAAGGAAGAAAATGACAGGTCGTTTTCTCCTTTTGGGGGTTTCCATGCCTCCAACGAGTGCAGTCGTTGTGGTTTTGTGTGGTTGGTAGAAAACCCTCTACTCGCAATTCGAAGAG